ATTATTTGTTTACATCATCATAAATAAAGAATTATTATTGGCATCAGTAGGCCTACAGCTTTACATAGGCATTATTTTTATAGGGCCTAAAATAGTAATAGGCTAGAAGCAACATGTCAAGTGGAGAACTCATTGAAGAAAAGATATTGTGTAAACTAATTTCCTATAAAACTCAAAAACAGTAAATAACATACAAACATTGTTTATGGTATAATTAATAAGGACTAAAAAATGCATATAATGTCATACAGTAGTATAGACCTACGGTACTGCAAGAGATTAAAATCCTAAAACAACTGATTTTGATAGCTAATGAATGAAAAGAATTAAAAATCCATAAAATGAAGCTAAACAATATCACAACTAATTAGGTAGGTACCCGAAAAGTAACTCTTAAATAATATATAGAAGATTAAAATAATATTAAATCAAGAGACAAGAAAGTTAAATGCTATCTTCTAGTGCCCTTGGCAACACAGGTCAATGTTTTTAAACTACCCTCAATGTTTTTGGAACAGCAGGGCCTTTTTCTCTTAAGGAAGGGTAGTAGTATGTCAACAAAAACAATGAATCAGTCTCACCAGCCAGGCCCGGGCAACGATGTGTGAATTCAAGGTCATAGACCCTCCCCCTCCCCTCTTACACCACCCGGTTGCTACCCAGTTGCTTCAATTGCTGACAAAATGCAAGTGATGAAACAAGGAAGTAGAGACAAAGAAATATATTTCTTTATTCAAAAACACAAAACTGTTAGAGATTATTTTCAAAGAAATTAATTCAATGTAATTTGTGAGTTGTAAATATTGTATTGGATCTTAGAAATATATTTTTTTAACACTATTTAACCAAGATACAGATCTGTTCACTATATCAGATATTTCTTTTGTTTATAATTTATTATGTAAAATACTAAAATATATTTTTAATTAGGTATTGAATGAACAATAAATGATTATACTAGTATGTCTGGATAAATAGTCTTTCTATTCTTTTGACTCTGTTTTCTTTGCACTGTTAGTGTTGCGTCACGGCTTTTGTCTTGTTACTCTTATCAGTAGACGACTAGACCTGGCTCTGGCTAGTGGCAGTGCGGCAATTGCTCTGTTGTGTCTTTATTCTTAAAGGTCGTGAGCCAACTTAATTTTTAATTCTCATTTGAACATTTTAATTCCTCTGTAATAGATATAATAATATAAGAGTGTTTCTTTGGAAATAAATTATTCTTTTTTTTCTTTTGCCCCAACAAAAATTCGGGGACGGGGACCGACAAACACCTAACAAAAATACCAAATGTATCAGTCTATAACATTGATCTTACTAGTTAAGTATTAACATTAAGTAACAATTTTTCAGACTTATTTTTAAAATGATTTTGGAGTAACCTACCTTGTTTTGGCTAGGTTCACAGTAGTAAAATATTTCACACACTGCTTACATCAAGACAAAAAACAAAACCTCTAATCATTTGCAATGTCAAAACAAAAAAATATAAAACAATTAAAGCTATATTTAATGCAAAGAATGTATTAAATAAGAACGCCTTCGTAAAGGAAACGCAACAGCAACGCGCTCCTGTATTGCGGGTATTGCATTGACTTTCTGCAGGCGTTTTTCGTATATGGATACTGACTCCCTCGTGAATCGAATCGTTTTTTGACCACCACTGAATCGAATCGCGATTCGATGCATCGAATCGAAATTTCGATGCATTTTCGATGCATCGCACACCCCTAGTCAGGTGTGAACTTGGCTCTTGTAGCATAGTGGCAACCGTTTCGATGGAAATTGGCAAGTTACAAGAAACCTTGAAGACATTTTATTTTCTACTGCAATTATATAAATATGAAAAATAATAAGTTATCTTGGTTTTTAGGTAAGAAAAAGTATTTTTATGAGTCACGCGGGTTATCACTTAGCAACGACTGAGGTAACTATAGTTGTATGTAAATTAAAATTATGTAAATAAAAGTGGTTTTGTATCCTGAAGACATGTTTGTAATGGGTCAAAATTATAGAGGGGTTAAGGTTTTATATTTATTATTTAATTATCGGTAGGCCTATACCTTACCTGGTTGGTGATAGTAATAAACCTATCATGGTAAGGTAAATAGGCTGTTTTAGGCCTATCCTAGGGTTGAAGTAGGGATAACCTCACTTTTGGCAAAATCACTAAAGACACTATTTTTGAGATTCACAAGTCACAGTATAGCATCGTTGTGTACAAAACGAGTGATAAACCGTTTCCGTGTAACCCCCATATCTAATCTACACTTTTGGGAAGTACGGTCAAAGTTGTTGTTTAGGCCAGGGTGGTGAACCGCAATTAGAATACAATATCACGTACATAAGATGCATACACTTTGTCGCACACTAAGCTACACGTCACGGGTGGAAATAATACTTTTTGTTTTACAGGGTGTCTAGTTTATTTCCATTATAAAATTCAAGACTAATTCCAGACTTTTCAAGACTAATTCCGGATTTTTCAAGACTAGTTTTTTCCACAATTAGTGGGTGTTGATACCAAAATGTATCAATTCTAGATTCTTGATACTGATACCAATTTTTATAGCTTAATCAAATTTTCTAAATAATACTATACCAACTCTTTGTCTTTGTCATAAAGTAGTATTATGATAATGTGGTGTTTTCAAGTAAAGAAATGATGCAGCAATAAAAAATTATAACTAGCAAATTTGGTTTTTTTTACATGAAATCTTCCGCGTACCGTACTTTTAACCATCCTCATTGACTGCAGTGCTTACAGAAACGTGATCGTCGTCGTCCGCGATCACGGCAAAATCATGAACACTTCCCGCGACCGTGTATACATCATCGTCGTCTACCGCGGTCACGGAAACGTAATCGTCGTCGTCCGCGATCGCGACAAACTCATGAATATTTCCCGCAGGCGAGCAGATATCAATGATATCATCGTCGACTCCCGCGGTCACGGAAACGTCCTCGTCATCTCCCGTGGTCACGGAAACGTTATCGTCATCTCCCGCGGTCACGGAAACGTTATCGTCATCTCCCGCGGTCACGGAAACGTTCCAAGATCGCAGCAAAATCATGAACATTTCCCGCGGCTGTTTAGACATCACCGTCGTCTCCCGCGGTCACGGAAACGTTATCGTCATCGTCCGCGATCACGGCAAAATCATGAATATTTCCCGCGGCCGTGTAGACCCGCGGTCACGGAAACGTCATCGTCATCTCCCGCGGTCATGGAAACGTCATCGTCATCTCCCACGGTCACGGAAACGTCATCGTCATCTCCCGCGGTCACTGAAACGTTATCGTCGACGTCCGCAATCATGGCAAAATCATGAACATTTCCCGCGGCCGTGTAGACATCATCGTCGTCTCCCGCGGTCATGGAAACTTCATCGTCATCGTCCGCGATCACGGCAAAATCATGAACATTTCCCGCGGCCGTAGACCCGCGGTCACGGAAACGTCATCGTCATCTCCCGCGGTCATGGAAACGTCATCGTCATCTCCCACGGTCACGGAAACGTCATCGTCATCTCCCGCGGTCACTGAAACGTTATCGTCGACGTCCGCAATCACGGCAAAATCATGAACATTTCCCGCGGCCGAGCAGATATCATCGTCGTCTCCCGCGGTTACGAAAACGTCATCGTCGTCGTCCGCGATCGCGACAAAATCATGAACTTTTCCCCCGGCCGAGCAGATATCATCGTCGTCTCCCACGGTCACAGAAACGTCATCGTCATCTCCCGCGGTCACGGAAAGGTCATCGTCGTCTCCCGTGGTTTCGGAAACGTCATCGTCGTCGTTCACTATCGCGGTAAAATCGTGAGCATTTCCCGAGGCCGTGAGGACAATCATCATAGGCTTTCGCGGTTACGTAAACAGAAGACGACGATCGCGGCAAAATCATAAAAATTCCCGACTTTGAAATCAAATTTAAGACTAAATCCCGACTTTTCAAGACCATTTTGAAATTCAATACTAATTCCCGACTTTCCCGATTTTCCCGACTACTAGACACCCTGTTAAACCAGCAACGATATTAAAGTTCCGCCGTATAATTTCACAGTCGGCGTAGGTAAATAACAACATAACCTGTACCACTAGTCTTGGCGTTGTGTTGTGAATCAAGCCAGTGCCAAGTTTGAACTCGTGACGTCATCGATCAGCTGGGAATTGAATCAGCTGATTCCCCATCCCTAGAGGATTAGGGAGGGGGAAGTAGTGGAGATCCCTTGTGGGCCAGGGATGCGACCACATTCTAATCCTGCGATAGCTTGAGTTAAGACGTGACATAGTGCTCAGTAGTGATTTTGCCGCTAAAGTGAATTTACGTAGTGCCAAGTGAATTAGTGGGTTAGTGAAAATCCCTGGAGTATACAGGTAATTCACCGGTATTATCTTAATAGTGTTTACTATTATTTTTTATTATTTAGCGATAAACCCTCACTTTATTAGTTTGTCTAGAATCATTTATTTGGTATTAGAACCTGTTGAAGACCGTGATAGCATATGCTAGGGCTCGCACGGGATTTGTTAAAGATTTAATACGTATAAATAAATCGTTTAACATTGTGTTTACAATATAGATTGAGGGTGACGGGGTTTTAGCGAATATTTTGCCGGGATATTCAGTAAGTGTTGAACTGCTGCGGCAAAGCGGGCAAAGTTGAACCCGTCTCTGCAGGTCGTGCAAACACGAGGTCGGGTGGAGCACGCTAAGTATATTCAGCTAAGTAATATTCCAAGTGTTGAGGTTGACGAAACTGCAACATTAAGTTGTTTCAAAATTTCGTTGAGCGGGTTTTTATTATTTTTTAATTTAATTTAATTAGCTATTTCCAGGTGTGAACGATGATGATGGTACAGTAGCGTTGTTGGTTACCGGTACGGAGTTCACACCTGATTCACACTAAATTTTTGCGTATATACAAATCTGTGCCTGTGCTAGGTTTTTGAGTTAATTAAATAAATTATTTTTATCTGAACCCTGGAAACTTCCCAGCACCCCGACTTGAGCGATCCGCTGGAGAGAGTTGGTGACGTCTTTCCCGCTTTAACTACGGAATAGCAAAAACGACACGTTACATGTTTATTATTGATGCTCATTAACTTTGTAATTTAGGTATATTTTTGATAATTTTTGTTTATTTTGTACTATAAAAAATGCAGTTACTCTTCAAATAAGAAAACTTTAGGTAATTTTGTGTAGAATTTGATGGTAAGTCATTAAAATATCTGTAAACAAATTAATAAATAAATTGTTTTAATTATTACAAGGCAATTAATTTATTGCCTTAATTTAATCTACTTAATCTTTAATCTATCTTTAATTTATCTTAACTTAATTTAGTGAGTCGGTGGCTCAGTCGGTAGCGTCGCGGACTTTGGGCCCAAGGCAGCGATGTCGTGGGTTCGGATCCTGGTCACTGCCGATAACATTTTATTAGTACAGTTCACCTTTGTTCTGTTCCGGCTCACTCCTTGCTTTGCTGTTAACGATCCACGCACGGGCGCTTAGTCTATGTGGACGGGCAAATGCAAGGTTAAAAGCCAACCGCTTTTTTTTAAAAAAAAAGAAAAAAAAGAATTTATTAAATACATTTATTATTATTATACATTTATAACTTATTATTTAATTAAGGCAATAAATTAATTGCCTTGTCAGAATGAAAATAGCTATAAATGTGTTGTTTTGTTCAAAAATAAATACAAGTAAAAGAAAAGAACAGGAGAAAATTAATTTGTGTGGATAGGGTTAAATATAATAGACTACCAAAACAGCACAGTTACAAACACTTTAGAACAAAACGGATGAAGTCCAAACAAGTAAAGTGAGAAAAGAAATTTGATGATACACCCATATAAGAATAAATTAGAAGATCAAATAAATGATCAGTTGTAATCAAAATTATACTTACCAACTTCAGATAGTGTTCTGATACAATTCTCAACATTGAAGCGCTGAGAAGCATTGAGCCAATTGCATTGAGAGACCCTAAACGAGGCTTGAAGAAGTTGGACAAATATGGGTTGCCTAGTCTGTAAAATAACATGGGTGAAGGTAGAGAAATAAATTTATAAAATGAAAAATATTGTTTGCAGTACAGCAAAGATAGTGTAAACAGATAGGGTTAATCTGAATATACTGTAGTAACAATGATCTTCAGCCAAATATAAATGAAAGAGATTTTTTATTAATTTGATTAAGTTTGATACTAGCTTTTATCCAGATAAGTATCGGATTAAAGAGAGCTGGCGGTAGCTTAATGAAACTACACAAAAAGTATGTTAAGGTTGATTTATTAACGATCATTCAAGCTTCTTCTAGGGTTGTCAGTTTGAGTTTGATTGAATCAACTGTTGCTAAATGGTAGAATGCCTGAATCTACACTACACTTGCTTACATGGCAAAATAATCTACACACAAATCATTTCCTGTTGAGTACAATTCAATAAAAATATACTTAGACCAAATTTTATTTTGTTCAGTTGTCCTTAGCAGTGAGATAAGTAGTGGGCAAAGTAAAATGTAGGGAAATCAGCTGGTGGTGGTCGAAACAAAATATTTTGAATCTCAAAACCTAAACGTGAAACTCTTTACATATAGTTATGGTAGTTCATAACTATCATACCAGAAACTCAGTGATGATAGGATTACGGGTCCCAAGAGTTCTCAAATCAATCAATTTAACAAATTCCTTTTACATTGCTAATGGCTTGCTGCGTAATATCGCTTCAGAAATTAGGGACCGCGAGTGTCACTGAGTGTATATAAGAGGGTTATCGCTAATTGGCTGAAGGAGATAGGCCTTGACAATACAGTGTCGCTTATCAGCCCAGAATATCTCGTTTAGACCTAACCAACTGATAACTGGACTATCTATTGTACTTTCTACAGCACTCTTACTTGACGGAATCCACGCCTCAGTAAAATTGGGAATTGAAGGAAAAAAGTTAATGTGTATTGGATGTAATGCAAGCAATGAGCTCCCCTACTATTGAGTTGCATTTGAATATGGTTGTTAGGTTTCACAGCTTTTATAATTATAATTGTATAGTAAATTTATTTTTTATGCTTATTTTACTTAGTTATTGTTCGATCTTTTTTTATTTTTATTATGTGTATTAAGTGAAGTGCGAAGATCTTTTATTTTGATTTTAAGCAGACAGTTAAGGACTCTATCACGCACAGGTCATTGTGACCCATGTAATATTTTTATTTGCTTTATGTAATGCTGCAAAATAATTTGTTGTAAATAAAGAATTTTTCTCTCTCTTTACATGCCTGGTTAAGGTTACAAAAAATACAAGTAATGATAAAGTATCATTTATGAAAAAAAACTGAAAGAAATTTGACTCCTAACCTTGAGCTTGAGAAATTTGACTCCTAATAACAGCCCTGATACAGCTGGCAGAACACATCATAGAACAATTAGAGGAAGGATGTTCAGTGACCAGCTTGTTTCTTGACTTAAGCAAAGCCTTTAATTGCCTCAATTACGGCCAGCTACTACAAAAACTAAGAGCCCTAGGAGTAGGAGGTAAAGAAGCAGAATGGTTTGAATTCTATCTCATGGGAAGAAAGCAACTGGTAGAAATAAATCACATCCAAAATAACACAAACTACAAAATACAATCTCCAACAACTGATGTAAAAAGAGGGGTGCCTCAAGGATCTGTAATGGGGCCAGTGCTCTTCCTCCTCCTCCTGAATGATATGTCAAACTGTGTGGATGATGCCTGCTCTACTATAATGTAAGCAGACGATGCCGCTTACCATCTCTAATAAAGCTACTGAAATGCTTGAAACAAATACGATCGCATGCCTAAACACTACTGTATAAACAATGACCAAGTCCTAAATTTAAATGAAAATATAACAGTACAAATAGTTTTAAATTTAACACAAAAAGGAAAACTACAAACTTAGCACCTCTCCCCGACCTGGAAGTAAGCAACGTAGCTAAATATATAGGTACACAATTGACTCAAAATTGTCATGGCAGCCACACATTGACCAACTTGGCAAGAAACTTTCGTCAAGTACCCATGTAATTCGTAGAATCAAACAAATATGTGGCCTGGCCTGGAGGTAGCTAAAGTTGCCTACTTTGCTCTTTTTGAAACTCACTTAAGATACAGAATAGTGTCATGGGGAAGAACATCAGCATCCAACATGGGAAAGATCCTTACCCTACAAAAAGAGCAACCAGATGCCTAGCAGGACTACACTACCAAGAAAGCAGCCGGAAACCCTTTAAACAACTAAAAATCCTTGCATGCAGTCACCTCACAACAGTCAAGACATCATGAACTACATACATACAACACAAGACATGCCACAAATTTCACCCTGCCATTACCCCGCCTAACGCTTTTTGAGATGAAACCTTCATACGAAGGAGCACTGTTATTTATCCACTTGCACGATCATCTAAGAAGCCAGCCACCCCAACGTTTCAAGAACCAACTGACATTCCGGCTCCAAGAAAGACCCTACTACTCAGAGTCTGAATTCCTGAATACTAGTGATGGGCGGATCCAAGAAAATGTCGGTACCGGATCCGGATCAGGATCTTGAAAAAATTGGATCCGGATCTTCGGATCCAAATACAGATAAGTTTTTTTTCTTTTTTCAAGGGCGGGTTTTTTAAATAAAATAATTCATATGGCTAGGCAATGTCAAAGACTAACTGTGTCCATATAAAAACACTTAATATGTGTTGTTATTGAAAACAAAGTTATCACAATATTCTACGTTGCACAATGATTATCTGATTATCGATCGTAATTTTGAGGAGATACGAAAGAGACAAACTACCACCGCGTTGTCTTTCTAACACAGCTATTCGTATTGTAATCTACAACGCAGTGCGAGTGCGTGATTGGCTAGTCGCTATGACAACACACGGTTACCGTGACAACCTACAGTGCGCACTGAGCACTGCGCCTTGTGTGGGAGGGGAGATTATACCAACAAACTATTTCAGGAATTCCATTTTGGGACGGATGAAAGATAAGGAAGAAACAAAAAGTGGTCACGTGTGCAAATGTAGTGGGCGAGACAATAAGGCTATAAACGAGTATTGTCGCATCGTTGTTCCTTGTTTCAGATTCCCTATCAAACGCCCCTATCTGCTATCTCTCTCTCCCCCCCCCCTCTCTCTCTAACGATGTACTGATTAAACAGATTGTGGTTGACGTCTTTTCTACTTATAAGTTTCCCTGCGGTTATTTTAGTTCAATCAATCCCATAACCTATAACCTTTCTATCGTTTATCAAAATAATTAATTAATCTGTTTTGTATTTTATTTCCTTTCAACCAACCCCTATTTACCATCTGTATTTTATAGAATAAAATGATTGTTTATAAAGTTTGACTGGCCACACAATTTTGTACCTATTTTATTTTTTATAAAGAAACAGTTACTTTGATGATTATATATATATATCAATAAGTGCTGCGTGCTGTAATGAATGCTTTTTATTATCAAAATAAGTAATGAATTATTAATTTTTTATAATACATGGGTCATTGAATGCCGTAATGTCATGTAGTTTCCTATTTGTAACTTGCAAATAATAATAATTGATTGTTAATTCTGGAAAATGAAAAATAGTGAACGCATTCATAAACCTGTTGTCAAAACAGCAACGCGGGCGAGTGTAAGGGTTTATTGTTTCAGAGGCTAGGGTGTTTCAAGGACAAAGTGTTGGGCCTCCCGTCTTAGGGGGGGGGGAAGGGTGGTGGTGAGACTGCAAGAGGGGGAGAAAACTGGTTTTGGCTATTTATTGATTAGTTTACCGACCCTTCTAGACAACAAAATTGAGTGACAGTGTTAAATCATCGTGTTCTGTATTTCATTTCTTGTTTACTTTGTGTGTTATTCTATTAATTTTAGTGTTTTGGTCTATTTCCTTCTGGTCCCTTGCAAATTGTATTATCAATGCTAAATAATTGTGGTCAATTTGAATTATATTTTTGATTATTCAAATCTCCTACAAAAAAAGACAAAAGTCAAACCAGGCAAGGAAAAAACCTGCTATTGTAATCCCCGTACCCAGCCATTTGGGAAGTGGTGAAAGTCTAGTCTAGATATAGCTCAAAGGTCTCACCCTTCCCTTCCCCCCAACCCCCTACTCAATGTTGCTATTCCGCTCATTTCAAGGTCATTGCACAACCCCTCCCTCCCTTCTATTGTTTTGCCTTTATAGTGTTTCTATTCTGACTTTTATAAACATAAATTTATTGCTTACGTAACAGTTCAGTAGTGGAATTTTTTATTGTAAAACAGTAGGCCTACTTTAAAACAAAATCACTACCGATCATGTCATTCTATTCTGTGTCAAGTCAGTATACCATTGCCAGTCAGTCGCCGGCAACTGCTTTGAGTTGACCTATTCTGTTGTGACAGCTATAAAAATAGGTTAGGACAACTACCTCTTTTGGTTATTTCTATATTTGTGTTACTGTAGAATCTACAGTAATACAAATTATCCATCATTTTATGTAAACACAAGTTACATTTCAATGAATATTGATTTTTTACAATTTTAAACCAAACTGGCGAGTTCAAAGATAAGCTTGAGTTTCAAGGCCGTACTCTACTCGAACTTGAAATCTCGAATACTCGCCCGTTTTGTGTTGATAGTATAAAAAAAATCGGATCCATTAAAACCGGATCCAGCCCAGGATCCGATTTTTTGTGGATCCGATTTTTTGTGGATCCGATTGGGCGTCGGTTCTAGCTCAGATCCGGCGGATCCGGTAGTACGATATCCGGATCCGACCATCACTACTGAATACCTGACACAGCGCCGCCGCTGACGAGAGCTCTCTCTGGACATCAAAATGACAACTTTGTATTTCTTCACATAACTAACTAAAAAAAAGAAAGAAAAAAAAGTTTGTGCATTGTATAACTTTCACAATCTAAAATCTGTTCTCTCTATGAATATGTAAATAAAGAACATTGTCTATTGACATAATAACATAAATATGTGAATAAATAAATACAACTTTAAATCTATAAACATATGTTTTTTAAACAAGGAACACTAAATGTAACTTCACTCGCAGCACTTTTCACTCTTCACAGCACTGTCATAAAAAATGAATAAGATTAATTGGCAGTTTTAGATTTGAGTTTTGAATCTTAGAACTCACCGATCAAATCACAAAACCTAAACTTTTCCAAGATTTTGAGATTTGAGTTTCAGTTTTGAGTTTTGAACATCACAAAACAAAATGAAACTTGTTATTGTTATAGATCAAGAAGTTATTTATGTTATTTATGATTTTGTTATATACGTCTTATATCCAAATGTTGCAAAGTTACTATATTCAGAAGGCCTAGAACCATGACGTCACCAATGGGGCTGAACGAGTTGAAGTAATGCAGCAGGTTAGTAAGAAAGCTTATGTGTCTTCTCTAGTGTGATTCTAACTAAATTAAATTATTACTCACGATTTTTACAAAATTTGTCAACCTTACTTCACCCATTATATCAATTGCTAAACAAGGACACAAAATGGCATTGGTCCAAAGATTGTGAAAACGCCTTTGTCAAAGGTAAGGAATTGCTTTTAAGTGACAGAATTTTGATTCCGTTTAACCCTAAGTTGGACCTAGTCGTGACTGCTGACACAAGCCCATATGGTTTGGGAGCTTTGATTTCCCACAGGTTGCCTGACAATTCAGAACAGCCAGTTGCTTTCGCTTCCAGAACTTTATCTCCACAAGAACAGAGGTACCCTCAGATTGAACGTGAAGCCTTGGCACTTGTTTTTGCAGTAAAGAAGTTTCATACATTCCTGTATGGTAGACATTTCTTGATGGTTACAGATCATAGACCACTCACGTACCTGTTAGGTCCGACCAAAAACATGCCAACTCTGGCTGCTGCCCGTGTACAACGTTGGGCTATTATTTTATCAACATACAACTACGACTTGGTGTATAAAAAAGGCTCCGAGATACCCAATGCGGATGCGCTTTCACGGCTTCCATGTGGGAATAATTCATGTGATGACGATGAGGGTGAAAATCTTTTTGCGGCTACGGATGAACTTCCGATCACTTACAAGGAAATCAGCACTGCGACTCGTTATGATCCCATTCTATCTAAGGTGTTGGACTTCACAATGCATGGTTGGCCAAACTCCATTAACGATGCACAATTGACGCCATATATCACCAGATCATCGGAACTCTCAGTGGACCAAGACTGTTTACTTTGGGGAAGGAGGGTGATAGTTCCTGAGCCATATCGGAAAGAACTAATGATGCTTCTACATAAGGAACACCCAGGTGAAACCCGCATGAAATCTCTTGCCCGAAGCTATGTGTGGTTGCCTAATTTGGACCGTGACCTGGAAGGTGTAGTAAAAACGTGTAAAATATGTCAGACTACCCGGAACAGCTCTTCCCTAACACCTCTACAGCAATGGTCTTGGACGAAGCATTGTTGGCAAAGGATCCATGTAGACTTTGCGACCTTTGACACTAAGGACTTCCTTATTGTGGTTGACAGCTACTCCAAATGGCTTGAGGTTTTCCACATGAAGACAACCACCTCTAGCAAGACTATTGAAAAACTTAGGTCATGTTTCTCAGCCTATGGGTTGCCTTGTACCTTAGTGAGTGACGGAGGCCCGCAACTGACCTCTCAGGAATTCAAAGATTTCTTAAGGACCAACGGAATTCTTCATGTTGTCACCCCACCATACCATCCCGCCTCCAACGGTTTGGCGGAAAGAGCCGAGCAGACCACAAAGAGATCGTTCCTTCGTCAATTGCTTGAAGATGACCAATCGAACAAATCTAAAATCTAGAACCCTTCAGCACCGTATAGACAGTTTCCTTTTTACTTATCGTAACACACCTCACACGATTACTGGAAGTACGCCAGCAGAACTTTTTCTAAGATTCAAGCCCAGAAATCATTGAGTCTGTTGAAACCCCACCTGCCACCTGATCTTAAACGAAAAATTCATCAAGATTGAAAACACTTCAAACAAAAGAAGAGGTAGTGCACGTTTTTTTTTTTGTGTGGGCGAGAAGGTGTTTGTGCGAAGCGTCAGGCAGGAGAAGGTTAACTGGTTCCCTGGGACAATAGTGGAGATAGTTAGTCCATTGACATACATGGCCCAGGTGGACGGGCGGATGCGTTTTGTGCATGCGGATCACCTGCGTCCGAATCTATGCAGAACAGAAGAAGAAGATGTAACTATTATACCCCTGCCTCAACCACAAATCCTCCAAGAAGCCTTATCTAGCCCGGTCCATGACAGATCTCCCCAGAACAGACAGTCACTATCGAAATCCCCAGTGACAGATTTCATTAACCATCAAGTCCAGAAGGAAGTTCAGCCTGAGAAAGGGAAGCTCATAGGCCCCCGTTCACCTACTGAGACGGTGCGTCGATCACAACGTGAGCGGCGTCCTCCAGTAAAATTTGATTTGTAATTAGAAGAAGAAGAGCTCCTCCCATGTATATAGAGATATATTTATTTTGGTTACTATTTGAAGAAGAATTTTTGAAATTATTTTAAAGTTAGTGGGGAGGAGTGTTATAGATCAATATGTTATTTATGATTTTGTTATACAGGCCTACGTCTTATATCCAAATGTTGCAAAGTAACTATATTCAGAAGGCCTAGAACCATGACGTCACCAATGGGGCTGAATGAGGAGATCGGGAGTTGAAGTAATGCAGCAGGTTAGTAAGAAAGCTTATGTGTCTTCTCTTGTGTGATTTTAACTGTAATAGTTATGAAAACTGTAGACAATTTTTTTTATTATTTTACATGTGACTCCTCAATTACCTGTACAGTGGTGCTTTGGTCAGAGAATGGGCTGTTGAAGAATGTGTTGATGATCTGCATGACACTGTTAGTAACGTAGTTCTCCATCGCGAGGTCTGCATGTTTACGATCATGAGTTACGTTAGCCACCATGCCCATGTCCACGAGGAAACTCTTCTCAAACAGACTCCACATGTGGTTGGACGTGTAAATCTCCTTCATCTCAACTTCAGTGTCGATGTAGCAGTGGTTCAGGAAGTTAATGTACGCCTCTTTCACCTAAAATCATTCAAATCTGTAAGTTAATACAAAATTTAAATAACACTTTTCTTTCACTATTGTCTTCAGTGACTCTTTTTGATACAAACTCAAGTTTAACGACCAAGGCAAGGAGAAAACACTTCTGGCCTATGTGATGAACCTTTAGTTATACTACAGCCTTATTTAAGATTAAAAACCCCACAATTGGATACTTTTGTACATTATTTACCTTCATAAATTAGCTCCAGAAATAAAAAAAATTATAGCTTTGCGCTAAGTCAATATAGGCTATAATAGTTCTAGGCCTAAACTAATTGAACATAGCCACTTTGTCTGGAATTTTATGTAAAATACAAATATATAAACATAACTATAGAAAAGTATAGTAACAAAAAGTACTAGGACTTACTACTTGGTACCTAACATCTTTCAACAAACAACAAACAAACATTGAATAAGTCTACAGCAGCACTACCATCGCTACATACAGTTTAGTGTCTCGATACAGACATTGGCAGAAAGCCCAAGTTCTGACATAAACGTTGATACCAATTTCAATCCAGTCCTGTTTGGTGGTAATGGATTTAGAGCACATTGAACAAAATATCCGCTGTAAGAAAACGGCTTCTCCATATAGAGTCAAGATGGAATAAGTCTAAGGACTTCCAAGATTATGTAAAAACATACAGACAAATATTAAAAAAAAACAATTGCAATGATCATTACATTAAAAATTCTCTTAATAAGACCACAGCAACATGGGAGATTGTTAAGAGGGAACTTGGACAACAAAAGGAAAAATCTGAATTACCTTATCATGTTCCAAACGAGTCCTTGAAACTTACACATTTAGCTAATAATTTCAACAACCATTTTCTATCTGTACATACATCAGTAGGGTGTAGTCCTAAAGCCAAAGAGGCTCTGAATTTTATAGATTCAAAGTACTACAAAAATACATTTAAATTCAAATTAATTACCGAATCAGAAGTAAGGAAACTTGTATTTTCCTTAAATGACACAAGATCTGTCGGATGGGATCAGATTCCATTGTTCTCACTTAAGCATGTAATAGATGAAATACAAACTCCTCTCTGTAATCTCATAAACCAGTCCTTAATACACGGTATTTTCCCAAACAAACTAAAATACTCAGAAATTTTACCACTCCATAAGAAAAATGAAACACTTTAGAAAATTACCGCCCAATAGCTATGCTCTCAAGTATATCTAAAATATTCGAAAAATGTGTTGACCTACAATTGAGAACTTTTTTAGAAGATAATAATATTTTTAATGATTCCCAATTTGGATTTAGAAAAGGATTCAGTGCTCAACAATCAATGACTAAATTAGTAAACTGTGTTGCGAGTTCCTTGGATGGATCTCAGAAGACAACTGGAGTTCTGTATGATCTAACCAGAGCTTTTGAATGCGTTCATCACAGTTTCTTAATAGACAAACTTGAAAAATATGGAATAAAACAAGGAATTAAATTGGTTTTCTACATACTTGAGGGATGTATATCAAAGAAATAAAATATACTTATCAAATTTGGACATACTATAAATTCTAATTGGGAAAAAGTTGAAGTAGGGGTGCCTCAGGGATCAATATTGGGCCCCTGTCTATTTCTTATTTATGTAAATGACCTACCAAACGTGTCAAAGATGGATATATTTCAATTTGCTGATAACACAATGCTGTTATGTAAGGGACCCAATGTTGAATCCCTGCAGCACACAGTAGATACAGAATTGGCCGCTTTAAGTGACTGATTTAGAGTAAATGGGCTCTCCTTGAACATGGACAAGACTCAAGTAGTTAATTTTCGATCAGATCATAGAAATAGTTTAAAACAGACCACTTTTACAAATCATCAGTTAATGTCTAAGGAGACAAGCAATTTTTTGGGTATTCATATTTACGGAAATCTTGACTGGCTTCCTCACATTGACAAACTACGGAAAAGGCTTTCTTCAGCAACATTTTCTCTCAAAACAATTTCTCAAGTTACAGATACTAAAACTCAATTAACAGTTTTTTTTTTTTTTTTTTTTTTCAAAATAAACTTATCACACACTTTTATAGAAATTTCTATATTTCGGCATTAGCCTTCTTCAGGAACAAACACAATAACAAATAGAAGTGTTTACCACTCTGAATCATATGGTTTTAGCATAAATCCAAAATACATATAATTTATGAAGAAGTAAAAAAGAAAATGTTTTGATAGAAAGAAAGAAAAAATTTTATATATATATATATATGTATATATATACTATCTCAAATTTAGACCGGAAGTTGTTTTAGATTTAAGTATTAATTGATGAGCTTGCTCAAGCTGTCTTAATTTCAAGTCTGGTGCGTCTTTTGCCAATTTTCTTATTCCTTTTAATGAATAACATTGTTCAAAATTTTGAGAATGCTCTCTCGCATGAATAGCCACAGGTTTTAGTTTATCAGGATGGTTTACATCATATCTGTGGCCATTCATACGAACTCTTAGAGCATTGGTGGTTTTGCCAATGTAGTCTTTAGGACAATTTTTGCATGAAATTTGGTAAATTACATTAGTAGACTCACAGGTGATGTTACTATTTATGTTATAACATCTTTTTGTTTGCCTGCTTGTGAAAGTTTTTGATGGGATGATTAATTTGCAAGTGGCACATCGTGGTTTGTTGCATTGATTACAGCCCGAAGGTTTTGCTGAGGGTTGGGAAGTGGGAGGTAGTTTGGGTTTTGAAAGAATGTCTTTAAGTTAGGAGCTTTTTTTGTATATTAGTCTTGGGGGTTTGGAAAACAAATTATGGGTCAGAGGTGAATTTGAAAGAATATTATGTGCCACTCTTAAAACATTATTAACTTTGTAAAGGCCAGGAAAGTATTGGGTGATGAATTTTGGATCTTTTTTGAAATTATCTGTGTTAGGATTTTTTGAGCTTTTTATTTGACTGTCTCTTAAATTTTTAGGATAACCTCTTCTGTTAAGTGAATTGCTGAGTTTTTCAATATAATTTTGGTAATCACGATTTTCAGAACAAAGGTTTTTTGCTCGTATTGATAGGCTTTTTGGTATGGATTTTTTAATGTGTGCAGGATGACAGCTTGAGTAAGCTAAGTAATCCATTGTATTCGTATCCTTTACATGGATTTTGGATTTTAACATACCATCTCTAACAAAAACGTCAACATCCAAAAAAGTAACAATATCTTCTGAGAAATTCCAGGTAAATTTAAGGATTGAGAATTGATTTAGATTTTCAAGGAAAGTTTGCAGGTTTTCTAGTCCATGTTCCCAAACCATGAAAATGTCATCAATAAACCTATACCAAATTGAAGGTTTCAACATTTGTGAATTTAGAAAAAGTTCTTCAACATGCCCAACAAATAAGTTTGCAAAAGAAGGTGCCATACGTGTGCCCATAGCTGTCCCTTTCACTTGAAGGTAATTTTGATCAAGGAATTTAAAATTGTTCATGGTTAAAACAAAATGAATTAAGTTTATAATAAAATTTGCACTAGGTTTGGAGTTAACTGGACGTTTTTCTAGGTATTTCTTTACAGATTTTTCTCCTTCTTCATGTGGGATGTTAGTATATAGTGAAACTACATCAATTGTCACCAATATAGTATTGTCCGTTAGTGGGGTGTTTAAGTTCTTAATTTTATTAAGGAAGTCTTTGGAGTCTCTTATATATGACGGTAAAGTTTTCACTAATGGTTGGAGGGTGTCATCAACGAATGCTGAGATCCTTTCAGTGGGTGATCCATATCCAGATACGATAGGTCTTCCAGGTGGTGGTCGAATGGGTTTGTGGACTTTAGGTAAAAGATAAAAAATTGGTGTTCTTGGATTTAGAGGGCTCAAAAGTTTTATAGTTTCTTGACTTAGGTCTTCATTTGGTCCATATTTTTGCAAAAATTTAGAAATGTCATCATTGAAAGTTAAGGTAGGGTCATTTGGGATTTTTTTGTAGAATTCAGCGTCATTCAGTTGTCTTTCTGCTTCTTTTATATAATCTTCACGATTCAAGATTACTGTACTGTTGCCTTTATCTGCTTTTACAATTATTATGGAAGAATTTTCTTTCAATGAACGTATAGCTTTTCTTTCATTTTTTGTAAGATTATCCTTTGAATGTAGTGAGGATTCAAATTTAGGATCAGAAATGTTGGAGATTACAGTATTAATGAATTGCTCTACTGGATGGTCAGGAGGAAGAGGATCAGGTTCCCAGTTTGATTTAGGTTTGAATTTATCCAAGCAATTGGGCGTTGAACAATTTGGACTGTGAATTTGGACTGTGTTTGGCTGTTGTTTAATATAATATTGTATTCTGACATTTCTAGCAAAAGAGAGACCATCTGCGACAAAATCAAAGTGATTAAACTTGGGACGTGGAGAGAAAGTGAGACCTTTATTGAGGACAGAGATTTCATCTACATTCAGAACATATTTAGATAGATTCATTACATTTCCCTCAGTTTTAATTTGTTCTTCATTTAGGTTAGGAGTACTGTTTATCTGTAGGTTGTTTACAAGTTCATTTTGGACAATGGGATGCTGAAAATTTGTTGTATTAGGTTGCTGAAAATTTTGTGTATTGGGTTGCTGAAAATTTTTGTTTGGATCTGAATTTAATAATCCTTTAAAACTGGTATTTGGGCATAGCCCAATATTGGAAGAGGAATCAAACAAGGTTTTCAATTTTTTGTTTAGATTTTCACATCTTTTAGTTTTCATTAATTGGTTTTGATCGTCAATTTTACGTTTTTCATTGATCACATCATGTTGAGGTGGTATGAGTTTATAAAGATCAATCAGTTGTTGTTCATACTCATTCTTTAGTGATTTATATTCTTCTGTTACTAGTGTTGTAAGTTCTAGACTTGTTCGTATAGAGAAATCTGTGATTTTACCTCTAACTTGAGGAGGAACACCAGTGAGAGGTATTTTAGGTCTAAGACCTTTTGGAGCAAAACCGTAGTCAATTAACAGTTTATCATTCATATTTTTCATCTTTAATGTCATACGTAATACTTGTCTGGGGAAATTCTTGCCATGGTAATAAAATATTTCAAAAGAAGGCACTAGGAATCATAGCTAAAGTACCCCGAAGAAGTCCATGCAAAATCATCTTTCAGGCTTTTAGCGTTTTGACATTTTATGACCTGTATATTTTAGAAGCATTATTTTGGGTATTCAAAAATTTGTCAATTTTCAGGGAGGATCACACAAACCATAGGTATAACACTAGACATAAGAACCTAATTAAGCCCACTAGCCATAGATTATCACTATTTGAAGCATCACCTCAATATATTGGACCAAAATTGTATAACTTGATTCCTGATCATTTAAAAAACATCGCAAATCCAAAAAAGTTCAAACAAAAATGTAAAGAATGGTTACTGACAAAAACATTTTATTCTTTAAATGAATTTTTAAGTAGAAATTGGGAGGGTTAAGTGTTGACATTATTTTATTTAGATTTTTTTACTATTTAGATTTAAGTATTATAATAGGCCTACATTGACAAATGTCCTGTCATTTTATGATGTCATGGCATTCTGTAAATAAATAAATACTACGTGATCGTCTACGCGTAGACGATGGACGCCCCAGAGCGTGTAGTGATTGTCTACGAATACACGATGGACGTTTTGTTTGGAGGGTTAAAAAAAATCACAATACAAACACTTTACTGCCAGTGGAATTTTAAATTGCCATTTTCTGTGCATATCCTCTCAATGCAGACAAATTAGGAGAGATAAAGTAAACAGACTACCATAGATGAATGTGTTTTTTTGTTTTAGGAGGTTGGCAGCCTCTTTTAGCCTTGCCTTTTTACTTTTTACCACCTTACCTCTGGAATACAGTCTGGATGTGAAACCATCACAACAATATCATCCAATGGTAAGAGACTGTGGCACTTGATTTCAGTGTAGACATTCTTTCCCATTGTGCAGCAAGCGAGTAGCTTTACCAGTTCAATATGGTACCTGAAAAATATAAGTATTTAAAAAAAACCAAAATACTTATATGTTGGCAGGACTGATTTGGATGGTTCACACCGTACCAGTTTAGTGACTGCCATTCTAATTCTTTTTTCTGACAAAGAATAAAAATAAGAATAAGAATAAGAATTGTTTATTGCCGTTAAACATGCAATGGGCAAAGTCACTTTTTTAAAATACCTATCTTAGCCTACTTATTTTTAATTTATTTTAATAATAATTTATTTAAACAGATATATAGGCCTATATCTAAGCACAGAATGGTAACATTGAATCGTTGAAAGTCTTTTTCAAGAACTCGTTAACACTATACATAGGGTTTTCCACTACCCAATCTGACAAAACTTTCTCAAATTTACTATTACTAACTTCTTTTGCGCTATGAGGCAGTTTGTTAAACAAATTAATACTAAAAACATTGAAAGACTTGAGGGTTTTACTTAACCTACAATGTTGCCTATAAACATGATAACTAGATCTTGTGAAATGGTTGTGGATTTGGTTTGACAAAGTGAGGTTATTTAAATTCTTCTTAATAATAATAATAATAATCTTTATTGTCATTCAGCAACATAAAATTACAATAGACAACGCCAGAAGTCAGGACACAAATATGACATCATGCTTAAATCTATATCATCTTATGAAGCATTGAACATTTTGTTGCATAAACTGTACATACAGGCCTAATATTTAAATTTAAAATTCTAAGATTGAATGCTCTTACACAAATTTATAAAAAACTTAAGTAAATAATACTTCAAAATTAAACAATTTGTAAATATTCAGGAAATTTGTAAAAAGATTTTTGGTCATGCAGGCTGCCTCCTAGTGGCCAATAGTGTTAAGAGTTCAGAGTAATTATGTGTTTAAAAAATCGTCTATAGAAAAAAAGGCTTTGCTAATTAGCCATCTTGATAATGTTGATTTGAAAAGGTTTATGTTATCAATTTCTCTAAATGGAATGGGAAGTTTATTGAAAATTTGTAATTGCAAATATTTATGGCTTTTTGTGAATTTTGAAAGTCTAACTGGAGGGATGTACAGGTTGTTTGATTGTCTAGTTGAGTGGTTATGTATTGAGTGACATTTAGTAAAATTTGTAATGTTTTGTTTAACATAGACTAAATTATTAAAAATATAAATACTTGAAAGTGTCATTATATTATTATTCATAAAGAAAGGTTTGCAGTTGACTTTATTTGGTATATCAAACATGATCCGCAGGGCTTTTCTTTGCCAAGTAAACATCCTGCTGGCCCCACAGCTATTTCCCCAGAGAATATTTCCATATAATAAGTGCGTATGAAATAAACTATGGTAAACAGAAAGAAGTGTGTGGTTTGATACACAGTTTTTAGTTTTCGCAATAAAAAACAAACTCGTGACAACTTAGATATTACATTGTTGGTATGTTCTTCCCAAGTTAATTTTTTATCTAAGAAAATACCTAGCAATTTAACAAAATCTGGATTTTCAATTTGGTTTCTACGTAGTGTAAAACATATTTTCTCTGTCTTATCACTATTAATTTCAAGAAAATTACTCTTAAACCAATTATTACCAATATCGATCATGTTATAAATTCCATGGATTGCTGTGTTAAGATTGTCAGAAGGCCAAATAAACGATGTGTCGTCTGCATATAGAACTGTTTTACAAGGCATAGCATTTGGCAAATCATTAATATATAATATAAATAAACAATACTGGCCTAAGTACTGACCCCTGTGGCATCCCAGCAAGAACCTCCTTAAAAGCTGATGTTTGTTTAACGGAAGCTACATATTGTTGTCTGCCACAAAGGTAGGTTTTACAAAAATTTAGTTCCTGGTGTTTTATACCATAAAAATCCAATTTCTGCAAAAGTATGGTGTGCAGAACTGAGTCAAAGGCCCTGCTGAGATCCACAAGGGCCAGACTCAGATAGTTGCCAGATTCAAATGTATCCAGAATATCTGACACTATGGATTTAACAGCTAAAGTTGAGGAGTATCCGGGTCGAAAGCCATATTGATTGCTATTCAGACAATAGACAATAGACAATAGACAAAGCTTTATTGTACATCACGCCTGATACAATAATTACAAAAGTAATTCCCAAGCTGGTACATGGTCAATTTATATCTAGGTTCCTTAATCTAATTATACCCTGACAAGAGTAAAAACTATTACAATTTATCTTTAAAAAACGTCTGAATTTTGTAATACGCTTTTTGGCTCAAAGTCTCTTTCAGTTTATATGTAAAATTTGGTTTTGATAAAGTTCTGTATGAATTAGGTAAATGATTGTAGATTTTTAATCCCATGTAAAGAGGCCCAGTTTCAAATTTTGTGTGCGAATGTTTGGGATATTGAAAAGTTTTGTTATTATTTCTTGTTTGATAGTTATGATTTATTTTATATTTTTCAAAAAAGAAGGAATTTGCATGAACATACTTTGCTATTTCAAATATATAAAGAGAAGGTAATGTTAAAATGGAATGTTTTTTGAAAAAAGGTTTACAGCTGTTTTTAGACTTCTGGTGAAAAATAGTTCTGAGAATTGACTTTTGGCAAGTGAACACTTTCTTGGCCTCTGCAGAGTTACCCCATAGAGTGACGCCATAAGCCAGCAAAGAATGAACATACGCATGATATACTGTCAAGCAGACTTCTAGCGGCGTGACCTTGGATAGTACACTTAGTGAATACCTTGTTGACCTTAATTTTTTATTTAGATGATGAATGTGATCAGACCAACTTAATTTTGAGTCTAAATTTAGACCTAAAAACTTAACAATTTTTGTATTACTGATTGTGGTGTCTGTAACTCTGTTTCTGAGTTTAAATTGAAGAATGTTAGTTTTACATTCATTTAATTTCAGGCCATGGCTCTCAAACCATTCATTGATTTTTTTAATTGTGCTGTCAAAAGTTAATTTAAGTTCACTTAGTGTTTTTCTTTTTAAAAGAACAGTTGTGTCATCAGCATACAAAGTGAAAGCACAGGAATTTGTGGAAAGGCAATTAGGCAAGTCATTAATAAATATAATAAATAATAAAGGCCCAAGTATGGAACCTTGGGGAACACCATATGTAACGCTGGCCCAGTTAGAATAATATTTTATTGATTTTTTTATTACTATTGTGCGCTGCTTTCGATTGAATAGGTATGATCGTAATAATTCTAGTGCCATTCCCTCCAAGCCAATATTCTTCAATTTGATCAGCAGCAACCTGTGGTCCACACAGTCAAAAGCCCTGGATAAGTCACAGAAAACTCCTGCAGTCAACTGTGACTGATCCAGAGCTTCAAGGACACTACTAATATAAGTAAAAAGAGCATTATGTGTGCTTAGATTTCTTCTAAAACCAAACTGCTCTTGACACAGTTTTGAGTTACATTCTAGGTAATTTGCAATTCTAAGATGAATAATTTTTTCAAAAATTTTAGATATATTACTAGTAAAGAAATTGGTCTGTAATTTTGACTATTATTATGTTTGCCTTTTTTTAAAATTGGTCTGATTTCAGACAATTTTAGCAAGTCTGGAAATTCACCCTCACTAAATGATTGATTGATGAGTCTAGCTATAATATCAATAATATCAGAAATAATGTCAGCAGTCCATTTCAATAATTTAGTGGGAATCTCATCCCAACCACAAGAATTACTATTACTTAAACTTAAGATAGCATTTTTAACTTCAAATTTGTTGGTAAAAGCCAAAAACTGTAATTTATCTGTATTGTCTGATTCTAAAGAGTTTTGACTGATGTACTTGTTATTGATGAAAGAGACATTTGGCACATTTAATATTTCCTTTATGTTGGAAAATTGAAAATTAAGATATTCTGCAATTTCTTTGGGTTCATTTATCACCCTATCCCCAACATCAATTTTAGTAGTAGTCTCCGTTTTTACTTGAATGCCCAGTTCTTTTTTAACAACTCCCCACATAGCTTTACTCTTGTTACAAGATTTAATAATAAAATTACTATTATGCAATCTCTTATTCTGCAAAACTACCTTTTTGAAAATTCTTTTATAGTTCTTAACAGAAGTTTTTATTCAGAATTTTATTATTTGATAAAAAATCAAAAAGCTGTATTTTAACACAATTTTCAATTATTTTTGAAAAAAAAACTGGAACTATTGAAATGGGTCGATAATTGGAAACAGAAGATATATCTCCTTTCTTAAAAATTGGCCCTGTTTTGCATATTTTTAAACAACTTGGAAATGTGGAATTTAATAAGGCAATATTAACTAAGTAAGTTAAGGGTTCTAGAATGTATGGAGCTATATATTTGATAATTTTGTTAGAAAAGCCATAAAAATCTTCAGAGTTAGAGGAACTAAGTGATCTTATAACTTTTAAAATTTCAATTGATGTTACCGGCTTCCAGGAAAAATTGGTATTAGAAACATTTTCCTTATCTAAAAAGTCGTAAAAATTTAACCCACTTCCCCCTCCATTAGAGAACTTGTCTAAAATTTGTTTTCTTACATCAATGTAATAGTCATTAAATTCGTCAGCTGTAATTGGTGGATCCGACTTCTCACTTTTAAAAAATAAACCACTTTCTGACTTAACAACTTTTCATGCAGCCTTACATTTGTTTTGTGAACTATTAATAAATTCCTCATTATATTCTATCTTAGCAGTTTTAATTCTAGTTTTATATTTGTTTTTGTAAGATGATAGACATTTTTTTAGGATGTCATTGTTTTGATAAGCTGGTATTTTAGTCAAATCCTTGAGGAGTAACAGAGTATCCTTCATTTTCTTAAGTGACTCATCAAACCACAGGTTATTTTTTGTACTAACTTTGTAGTCCTTTCTTACTCTCTTAGATAGTCTAAGACAGTGATAGTTGTAACAATTCTGAATACAGTCAATGAAACATTTAAAAGCAACATTAACATCAGCAATCTGAATGTTAACGTATTAAAATTAAACACCTTAGCTTAACATTAAGCACCTTAAACACATTAAGCAACATTAACATAACATAAACATACAAAAATACTTCATTGTGGATGCAGCCTCCGGATTGCCAAATAATATTAAAAAGGTTTAAATACCTGCTATCAAGCAATCCATTTAATTGCAGTTGCAACTAGTTTCAACTCCTATGTGGAGTCATCATCAGGCGGTACAAGGACTTCTTCTTAAAAACCTGATGATGACTCCACATAGGAGTTGAAACTAGTTGCAACTGCAATTAAATGGATTGCTTGATAGCAGGTATTTAAACCTTTTTAATACAAAAATATATACATTTATCACAGTTAAAATCTTGGCTTGTTTGAACAAGGGCCTACAGTGCTCATAAGGGTCTACATTAAATAAAACCATCACAGCCTTTTTCTGGATCACTAAAACTTCACTTATTTTTTAACTATTGCCCCAGTACAAAATAGCATAGAGCAAAACACTATGATAAAAAGCAAAATAACAAGATATTAAGTAATGACTAGGTAGGCTAAATCTAAGGCGACGCAACATGTGAAAAACTTTGGAAAGCTTTGAACAAACCTTAGTAACATGAGTATCCCTAACTAACTTAGGATCAAGATGGACACCTAAAAGTTTAACGCTACTGTCATCATCTGCCTCTTTTGGTGCTCTTACGTCTAGAGAGAAAGTTAGAGTAGAGAGAAAGAGTTCGGGTTGGTTACATTCATTGTAGTGGTTCTCTGAGGTTGAGCTGGACTTGATGAGTTCGGTTTGGTTACATTCATTGCAGTGGTTCTCGGAGGTTGAGCTGGACTTGATGAGTTCGGGTTGGTTACATTTATTGCAGTTGTTCTCGGAGGTTGAGCTGGACTTGATGAGTTCGGGTTGGTTACATTCATTGCAGTTGTTCTCTGAGGTTGAGCTGGACTTGATGAGTTCGGGTTGATTACATGCACTGCAGTAGTTTTATGAGGTTGAGCTGAACTGCAATTAACCTTGGCCAAATAAGGGTTAGAACCAATTTTTGAAAGCAGCACTTTAATGTAGCTGGTGATGTGGATGAATAGTTCACTGATTTGGTCTTCATCTTCAGCTAAAGTTTCAATGTTCAAATCATCTTCACTTGATGTACTTACAATTCGATAAAAATAAGAATCAAAGTCTTCTTTCTTCTTCTGGGTTTCTTGCATGAGAGTCTTTAAGGCTTCGTGTTGCACAACTGTTAATGTTTCTTCTTGTTCAACATGTTGATCTACGATGTTTCTTATTTCGTTGAGACGAGTTTTAATAAAAGATGTGAGTCGTGTATAAGTCTCAATTTTAAAATCACTATTATTTGGAGATGCCATTGTACAAAGATGAGGAGATTAATGTAAAAAAATCACAAAGTGTAAATGAGAGAGTTAACAGTTTCAATATGGAAATAAGAGTTCAGTTAGATAAGAGTTCAAAGGCACGGAAAACAATGGGTAAAATGAGGAAAGATTGATGTATGAAGAGTTTTAGTGGAAGAAAGTAATTCCATATCGCCTAAGTAATATCTTGGATCGAAGGACCATTAAATAATGTGAAGTGTTTGAGTAAATTAATGAAAAATTAAGAGAGAAAAAATAAAAGTCATGTTTACAAGAAGAACAGAAAGGAATGATGTTTATTTATATAATACAATGGATTATCTTTTTATCATCAGCTGTTTTAGTAATTTAAAAATTCTAAACAGGCTAAAGAAAAATTTTAGATAAAAGAACTGAACACATATATTCTAAACAAAAACATAATTGTAATTTAACATTAATTTTTTTAAATTACTAAATTTCTAATTATGACTTCAAGTTCCAAGAAATTTTAACGTGATGTAAAATGTTGACTTCTATTCATATTTTGTTAGGAATCTCCAAGGTTTTCATATTCATCTATCTGATAGGATTTTTTGTTAAGTTTTGATATGTTTTAAAGTTTCTTTGTCTTACTTTGTTGCAGACTATAAAATTAATGAGTAGTTACATTTAAAACTTAAATTTAAACGTAATACTTATCTAATTCACTGGTATGCCATTGTTAGGTTCTCACTATTCCGGATCTGTACCGAAGAGCTAAAAACCTGAACTGATTATTTATGATGAAAGAGCCAAAATATTGTCTTGATATAATTTGATTTTCCTTGATATTTGAATGGGCCTAGCACAAGAGTATAATGCAAATAAAATGTCCAAACTAACATGCACATTTTGTTAAAAAAACTTGTTATCCTGTACAAACTAACTATACTACATTCACCAAATTTGGGCGGTTTGAGGGGAAGTTCCTCCACTACTTTTTTTACTTAATATATATGGCCCAGCTGATTTATATTTTGGCAAACCTCAGCTGTTGAGCTATTATTTTTAAAGGTAGGTTCAAGTGGAGGGGATAGATTTCTTCCCCTAAAACCGCTTTAATATTGTGAACGGCGGATAGCATTATTATATACATCCTTTAACTATTTACAACTGTACCTGAGGGCACTGCTTTCGTCCATACGATGGCGTTCGGATCTCATCATGGAAACAAAATGAGAGAACGAGGACTTATCATTGTAGAAAACCAACACATCTTCACCCGCATTCACTAGCTAATATGCAAATAAAAACACACGTTAATGGTAACACACAAAATACTACTTACCTTTCTTTTAAACTTCACAGTAAAAATGTTATATGCCTTCAAAATTTTTCTGCATTTGGACACTTAAAGGAAATGTAAAAAAAAACATTATTATATTGATGTCTGTATTTTAATTAGTGTAATCCGCTGTTTCTGTGTTGCATGACTATACCACCAAAAGAATTCCTCACAATGCCTTAATGTATTTGGAGAATACGCTTAAATTTCAAATATTACCCTTGTGTCTTATGGCGAACAGTCTTGTGGCTGTATGAAAGAGTATTTGCTTGCCTGTTTCGGTATTGGTGTCTTTGCTTTGTTGTCTATTTCTTAATTTTTGGTTATCACAATATAAAAAGGTTTTGTGTTTTATGTTCTTGTAATGGTTAAAATATTATGAGATCAGAAAACGAGCGTTCGGACGATTTCAAATGTCCCGCGCGAGGTCATTAGTTCCTCGAGCGGCCATGTACTGCGCTAGCGTCTCAACCCCTATAAATACGGCACAGGACCGGGCACAGTCGGACTCGAGCGCTGGGCGAATAGCTAGCATCATCTCTCCCTGGTAAGTGGAGTAGAGTACCTCGCGAACCCTTAGGCTGAGTAGCGAAACAGCTCTCGGACCCGCGGATATTACGAGACGATAGGCTGAGTAGCGAAATAGCTCTCGGACCCGCAGATGTTACGAGACGATAGGCTGAGAAGCGAAATAGCTCTCGGACCCGTGTATGTTACGAGACGATATTTTCTGATTTTCAGGACGGGATTACAAATGATTCGGGAATTTTTCGGGACGGGATTTGATCCAATCGTCTGCGATTTTGCTGCTCTGCGAGTGACAATGACGCCGCTATCGCGAGAGATGTTCACGATAGTTCCGCGAACGCAGGAGGTGAAGTCATTTCACGATCGCGCCGTGACCGCGGAGTCATACCAACGATCACGCCGTGACTGCGGAGTCATACTGACGATCGCACCGTGACCGCAGGGTTATTTTGACAATCACGCCGTGACCGCGGAGTCATACTGACGACCCTGCCGTGACGGCGAGTCATTTCGACCGCGAGTCACAAGTTTCTATACGTGTAACTTTTACCCGTTTTTTTGTTTTTATAGATCAGTGCCACAAATGGTAAAAAATTGATTTTGTTTGTCTTTTATGATAACTGCAATACTCAAGACTTCCTTTTTATTCACAGGAAAATATCCCGTCCAGTCTCAAAAATCGGGAAGGAAATAAAAATCCCGTCCCGTCCCGAAGTAAAATTCAATTCCGACCATCCCTACTAAAATGCCACTTAAAAATATAAAATTCGAAATTTTAAAAACAGGAATAAGGTGCATGTCATACAATGTCAATGAAAGTTGGCCAGTTGGCAAATTTGTTTGTTATTAAAATAAAATATCCTTTGATGGAAAAACAAAATGTTTCCTAGCTTAAGATAGCATACTTTAAAAAATATGTGCCAATAATAATTTGAATAGAATGTTTAGTGTAATTTATTAATTTATTGTCTGAAAACCTTTGAGTAGAATGACGTCATTCCAATGTAGGCCTAGTCATGTTTTGAGTTATTTTTAAAGTGATTATTATAATTTGACAAAATCGATTGTAAGGTATGTTATTTAATGATTATAAAGCGTTTTTGATCTTGTAGTCTAGAACTAAAAATAAAAACAAAAACCCCACATTAGTTTAATTGAAAATTGTCATGATGAATTAACTGTGAAATGTAATGTATGTAAAAAATAAATCCGTTGGTGGTAAAAAATTTGAAAAAAAAGAGTCAGTAATTAGTTCAGTAATTAGTTTAATAATATGTTATTGCAAATTTTAACATGCTCCTGCCAAGTACATAAAAACCGTTAAAACTCTACTAATACAATCAAAGGTTTATTAATGCTACATGTAACTCACCAAATAAATAAGGCTTTGAGTTAAACAAAATATACAACATTGGCGATAATTGCTAAAGAAAATATATTTTATAAAATCTACATTAAAGTGGACTTACCTCTTGCATAACCATGTCTTGACATCTGCGGATGAACTGGTTTTCTGCTTTTACGATCGTTTGGAAGAACTTCAAATACTGAACGTGTCGGCCATGGGTCTCGATGCAATGAATAAAATGTTGAATTACTTTCTCATTTACTTCATTGCAAAGAGTTGAGTTATCTTGAAATATGCTGCATAGGGTTTGAGCTTCCCTTATCTGAAATAACATTTTCATATAAATACCTTTACGCCACACTACACTGTTTTAACAAACTTCCCACGCAAGATTTTAGTCCAGAACAGCTGTTTGTGGCCAGCTTAATCAAATGGGGTTTCAATACGTACTACTGTACTATAATGAGTTTTTACCGGACAGCAACCAGCTGATTAAGAATGAGTGGTTATAAACAAAAACATAACCTCTATAGAGTTTATGAATAGTGATTGTTAGTCCTTTAGTCGGTGGGAATAAATAAGGATTTTTACAGATTTGTTATTGTTAAGTTAGCTTAGAGTAGTATGGCGTAAAATATTGTAATTAATTTGTCCAAAATGTGTTTACCGGACTCGTATGGTAATCCCGTACTCGACTTCGTCTCACTCGGGAACGACCACACTCATCCGGTAAACACCTATTTTCAGGACTAGTAACGTAATACTATTGTGGAATCATAGAAAATATAATGCTAATGAGGGATTCAAGAAGAAAATAAAACTTTCAAGGATATGAGATAGTTAAGAATATAAAAATGGAAATAAATTTTCATTTAGTTTTTTTCATTAATTTACTCCCATAAAACTGCAATGTCAACTGTACTTACTCAAACCAGATAAGCTATGCTGTCAAATAACAAAATATAATAATTGTAGGGATGGACAGGTCCTGAAATTTTGGGAAATTTTCAGGAAAAAAATATTCCCGATTTTCGGGACGGGATTACATTTTACTCAGGAATTTTTCGGGACGGGATTTGACCCGATCGTCGGCAATTTTGCCGCTTCGTGAGTGACGATGACGACGCTATCGCGGGAGATGTTCACGATAGTTCTGCAAACGCAGGAGGCAAAATCATTAACGATCACGCCGTGACTACGAGTCATACCAACGATCATGCCGTGACCGTGGAGTTATACCGACGATAGTGCCCTAACCGTGGAGTTATACCGATGATTGCGCCAAGACCGCGAAGTCATACCGACGTTAATGCCGTGACCGTGGAGTCATAGTGACTATCCCGCCATGATCGCACATATAAAATATTAGAACGTCTGATACTCAATCGAAATGGATTTTCTGGAACAAAAGATCATTCTACAACAGGCAGGTTTTCGATCAGGCAAGTCTTGTTGTGGCCAAGTTTTAAACCTGACCCAGCACATTGAGAATGGGTTTGAGAGAAAACAGATCACGGGTGTCGCTTTTTTAGATTTAACAGCTGCCTACGATACCGTAAACCATCGAAGACTCTTGGGAAAAGTGTACAGTATTACCAAAGACTATCAGCTGACTTCAATGATAGGCACTTTTCTTCATAACAGGCGGTTTTTCGTGTCCCTTCAAGGCAAGAAAAGTAGATGGAGGAATCAAAGAAATGGATTGCCTCAGGGTAGCGTCTTAGCCTCAGCTCTTTATAACATTTACACTAACGACCAACCGTTGCCAAACGCTACACGTCAGTATATATATGCCGATGATACGGCGGTGGCGGCACAAGGTAGGAGTTTTGAAGAGGTGGAACAGAAGCTGACTATGACTCTAAATGAACTTTCCCAGTACTATGACGCAAATCACCTGAAGCCGAACCCTGCTAAGACCCAAGTTTGTGCCTTTCACCTAAACAATAGAGAAGCAGGCCGTGAGTTGAATGTGAGGTGGCGGGGAGACCGTCTTCAGCATTGTCCTACACCCAAATATCTTGGTGTCATACTGGACCGCACACTGACATTTAAGGCGCATTGTATTGCGACAAGAG